AATTGTCTAATTTAAAAACCCGTTTGTTCTTTTTCATCCCAATGACATGACAACTTTCAGATCTACATATCTCTGTGTTGGTTACCATTTCAAAAGGGTAGGTAGGATAATGATTATTTTGCATGTATTTTTTAAAACATCAGTTAAACATCAGTTTAGGCCGCACGCAGCTACAGTCTTGAAAACTTTGTCTGTTTCAGCAAAGATGTCCACCAACACAAAAACAAATAATGTGTTTCTTCAGAAGTACAAATTCTAATTGAACCCCTGAAAGACAGTAAGTTTTAAAATCCTTTTGACACTCTTATGTATTACTTTCTGCTGCATGTAATGACTTACTGATGTGAAAAACAAATCTTCAATGTCTGCACAGCAAAATTATTACCCCATGTGGGAGCCAAATGTTTCATTTTCCATTCACCTAAATGTACAAATTAAAGGAACGTAAAAAGAGAAGACCGTATATTTATATGGCATCAGGATGATGACTCACTCATAACTCATTACAATTACCTTTCTTGAATGACATTATCTTTTCTTTTTACTTTAGATGAGCACAATCAGCTGGTCTCACCATAAACTTCAGTTTTCTGTTCTTTCCAAACTGTTAGACTGCATGCAAGACTCAAAATAGGACCATTAAATGAACAGAAATTACCTTTGTAAAAAAAAATGAAAATAAGAATAACATTATTAATTTCACAAACAGGATATTCATGTAAAAAGTAAATATGTACATATTCAATTCCGTTCAATTTATTTTTATATAGCACCTTTCACAACAAGGTTACCCCAGGGCGCTTAACAATATACTGTAAGTAACCATACATTTTGTGAATACAGAACAGAAAAGACCAGAAGACAACGGAGGAGAGGAACCAAAAACTCCTTAGTAAGGAGATAAAAAAGCTCTAAGGGTCCAAGGTCAACTGGATGCCCAACCCTTTTGGCCATGCTAACATTATATAAATCAAAAAAAGGAAATAAATGAATGAGGATATTAATCCATCCATCCATCATGTCTTCTGTGGGTCAGTACTCCATGCAGATGTCTGTAGACCAGCAAAATTCTCCTAAACGATAGCTATATCCACAATGTACCTCTTGATACTCAGATATATTTTTCTGAGTATCTTCATATACAGTATGTTACATTTACAAATTCTGCATTATAAATAAATGAATTCATAGCATGTATATCTATTAACATAATCATTGAATTTTTTGGTGAATTCAAGGACACTGCACTCTAATATTTTAATACAGGATCAGAGGGGAATGTCTTAAGCACATCTGCATACTTTCTTTCACATAGAGAGGATACTAAAACTGAAGACAAACATATGTAAATTATGTTCTGTTTACTTATTCATAAATATGGATTAATCTTTTTCAACATTTTACCATTTTTTTATGTTTTTCTTTCTAGTAGCAAAAATGCACAAGGCTAACTTTTATTTCCTTTTATTATTCCATACAAGTTGTATGTCTAAGACAGCAGCTGTTAACACTAGTTCACATTGTGACAAGTAGGGTGGGTGCCCTCTCCTGACCAGAACTGAGCCACTCAGAAGGAATTTCACGCAGATGGTACCCTTTAACCCAGTGTAGTCCTACAGTGATAACACCTACTGCTGTTTCCAACCGAAGACAGACGTAAGGAGAGACTAACAGTGCCCCCTAGTGGAATAGTGATTTACTGGATGCCATAATATTAATGATGGAAACTTTTTGTTCCTTAAAAAGTCTAACATCTTTCCCAAAGATTGTATGTTGACACAATAATAACAAATTATTTCACATATTAACAATGTGTTATGTGTATTTAACATTTTTCCTTATGTTTTATGTTGATGCAATAATAATAATTTATTACAGATATTAACAAGGTATCACATGCATTTGCTTCAGATTCAAAGTGGTTCAAACTAGAATTAATTTGACTAAGCTATACTTAATTGCCAAATAAACAGGTTTAATGAATGCAAATAATAATTATCTAACAGTATTGGGCAAAGCAAAGCTAATTTCTTCCATTTTCTTCACATTCCATTATATGCCTTTATTCATTCATCATTAGTATGATAAGAATATAGGAAAGATTGACAAGTGGTTGTTGCTTGGACCATTTTGCTCATTTGGTATTGTAGCAACTCAGTAAATTCAGATGTTTCTTGAAGGAGCACAGAATCTGGACCTCAGCTTCCTGACACCCTCAACTCTACCCTCAGCTGATAAGAAATATTTACTGATCTCCATTCTCAATCTCCAGAGACCATTAGTTATTCTTGTAGCTCGTCTTTGAACTCTTTCAGAGTCTGCAAGATTCTTGTTTTGGTAAAGTAATTTATATCCATCCAGTTTCTAATCCACTTATCCATGTCAGGTGCACCCCAAGTCTAACCAGCAAGCAACAGGCACAAGGCTGGATATGCCCTGGACATGGTGCCTGTCCAACACAGGGCACACACAGACACAAACATGCACACGTGCAATGTGCTTTAAAGGAATAATTTGTCCTTGTTTAAAGAATTTTGTATAGTACGTAAAACAATAGCAGCCTTTTCTAAATCCTTATTGATATTTCCTAAAATGCTATTATTTAGCAAATATTTTTCCAGTTTAGCTTTATTGTTTCCCTAACTTTACCAATAACAGAAGTAACTCATTCAAGGGTCAACTTACCCAAAAGCCTACAGTACCAGTATGTCAGTATGGGAGGGAACCAAAGCACGCCGAGGAAACCCATGCAAACACGAGGAGAACAAACTCCACACAGACAGCACCCCAGGAAATGAATCCTGGGCCCCTGGTGCTGTGAAGCAGACATGCTAGCTATTTACAATTGTGTCACCCGGTGATTTATACATTTGGTATAACATTATGTAAAGTACACAGATAAGTACAATGACCTTCCCTTGATTTAACGTCCACATTCATGCTATATACCCCAACATTGTTTGCTGTTCTATTGTTTTCCTATACTGACCTGAGTCCTGAAAACAATAGTCATAAACACCGGATCCCCGGATCCCTTCATACATAGCTTCCAGCTACGTAGGGTCACCCATGTGACATTTAATTCCCAGCTGCCATATCACCCTGAATCTCACAACTGACAACCCACTCAAGTTAAACAGGTGTGAGCCTGGATGGGAGACCTCCTGGGAAAAACTAAGGTTGCTTCTGGAAGAGGTGTTAGTGGGGCCAGTAGGGGGCACTTACCCTGTTGACTGTGTGGGTCCTAATGCCCCAGTATAGTGACGGGGACACTATACTGTAAAAAGGTGCTGCCCTTCGGATGAGATATAACACTGAGGTCCTGACTTCTGTGGTTGTTAAAAATCCCAGGGTACTTCTCAAAAAGAGTAGGGTGTCCCATTGGCCTTAACCAATCATGGCTTCCTAATAATCCCCATCTACGAATTGGTTTCATCACTCTGTTCTCGTTGTTAGCTGGTGTGTGGTGAGTGTACTTGCGCACTATGGATGCCATCACATCATCCAAGTGCGGTTGTACAGGTGGAATGGTGGCACTGTGGCTAGGGATCTGTGTCTGTGACTGCAAGGTTGCTGGTTCAAATCCTAAGGCTGGCAGAGGAATCCTACTCTGTTGAGTCCCTGAGCAAGGCCCTTAACCCCAACTGCTCCAGCTGTATAAATAGCTAATCCTGCACTCTTACCTTGAACTTCTCCCTTTGTGCCTGTGTGTCTCCTGGAGAGCAAGCTAGGGTATGTGAAAAGACAAATTCCTAATGCAAGAAATTGTATATGGCTAATAAAGTGATCTTATCTTACAGTGGTGGTGGTGGAGGGGAGTCCCCATTACCTGTAAAACACTTTGAGTGTAGTGTCCAGAATATTCTTATACTTATTTTAAGAATCAGTCTGACTAGAATTCTTTCACTTTAGGATCACTCACTGCTTCATATTTGTTAATTGGCTTTTAACCTGTATTGATATATGACAAGAATTCTACAGATTGAGTTTCAACTGTTTTAGAGAGACTTAGTGAAAAGCTTTCTGAAAACCAAATCACATCGTGTGATTTCGAGTTTATCAGTTGTCCTTGTTGCATATGCAAAGAATTTTAAGCATGATGTAAAACAATATTCTCCTTTTCTAAATCCTTGTTGAATGTCTCTTAAAATGCCATCATTTTGCAAATATTCTTCCAGTTAGCACTACTGTTTCCATGACCAGCCAAAATTAAGATTGATTGGCCTATAGTTTTGTTTTATGAATTGGTGTTTCATTCTAAATGTTCCCTTCTGTGGGTGCAGCTCCCATCTTTAATTAGAGTTGAAATATCTTGGTTAAATATTTATTAATACTATCCCTCATTTCTTTAAGTCCAACTGTGAAAATATCATGTTCCAGTGATTTATTCATTTTTATCCACAAAATAGTAATACCTCAGTGTCAGGTATGCAAAAATCACAATGTTAATGACACTCCTTTTTCTCCACATTTTCTGTTCTCTTCTAGAATTTATTTTTTAAAGTATTTTCTTCAGCTTATGTTTAATATTATGTTTTTGAACTGTAACCATCCCTTATTTCTATTTTATTGCTATTGACTCTGTATCCATCTGCTGACCTCGTGTACGCTGTTTGCACATTCTGCCTTCCTCATTCAGTCTGTTTTCTTTAAATTTAAAGTCTGATTTTGGACTAAACCGTTTAGAGGTTTAAGTGTGCATCAAAGACTGCAATATCATGATTACACCTAATATGTTTATTCTGCGCTGGTTCTTAAAACAAAAAGGTCAATGACAGCGTCTATCCTAGTCCCTGCCTTTGAAAACTGGGGTAAAAAGCAATCATTAGCCACTTCAAACATTGATTTTAGCTTCTAAAAGAGCTAAAATTAAAAATAAAATAAAATGTTAAAGAAGGGGTTCTCAATCAGTAGATTAATGTTGATTGATGTTATTTAACATAAAATACTGCCCTCTATCTTCCACAAGACGGATTTTTTTAACCTGGAAGTAGTTGTGATCTGTAGCCAGTGACAATAGTGCGCACGCACAAACATGGCGATCTGCACAAACGCATTAACAGTTTTCTGTTCATCAGCAGGAAGTTGGGTCTCTTAGTGACAGTTGTAAGTTAGGAAGAGATGATGGCCGTGGATGTGAAATCCAGAGCAAAGAGATACGAAAAGCTTGATTTTCTTGGAGAGGGCCAGGTAAAGGGAAAGTTCTTTAGTTTTAAAAAACAACAGCTGAAGTATATATCGATGCATATAGTTGAGCTGTAGCAGGAAAGCGGACACTACTATTAAATTAAAGGTCTCTGTGAAGAATTACACGCTATTCATAAAAACTGTTAGTGTCGTAAGAAAATGTTTTTGAATTTGCATAGCCTACAGAAAGGCTGTTGCAATAAAAACATTTTTTATTGTTGTGTGATACAGGGTTGCTGTAGTTAATTTCACTTGGTGTGAACAAATCGGATAGAAAATAGTTAATAGGATAAATAGGTGCTGTTTTTATATTATTTTTTAGAATTGTTTTTTTTAAAACGACAAATATTAAATGTTTTGCTTGTTGGTTGCAAATAACTGTTTTGGAATGGCTTCCTGATCTATATCACCTCATCTCTTTGCAGTTCGCAACTGTTTACAAAGCAAGAGATAAGAATACAAACACCATAGTTGCGATCAAAAAGGTATTGTTGCTTACTCTTTTCATTTTGAATATAGCTCCATTGTAGTACTCGCAATTTGTCTTCTAAATGCAAAGTTGTCTACCTTGAGACTGTTTAATTGTACATGTGGAAAAAGCAAATATGTTATCCAGAACACTTCGTTTATTGTTTTCGTGTGTTAATTGTCCTCTTGAGATTCTAATTTAATTTTTCTTAAACAGGAATTACAAACAGAATTACTTCGCACTTTAAATGATCCTTTTTGAAGATGCATTTCTAAATTTCTAATTTCAGATTAAAGTTGGTCACAGAGCTGAAGCCAAAGATGGTAAGATGGATACTTACATTTATTATGCTGTTATACCTATTTATTTATTTCTGAAAGGTACATTATTTTGTTAGAATTGTGAAAGATTTAGGAAGACCTTTAAAACTCCTTTAAAGGTGTTGTTTAAATAACCTTAACTTTAATCTAAAATAGTTTTAATTATGGTATACCTATAGATTTGTAAGCAGTGCTTTGACAAGCATATAGAACAATTTCAGCAGTGAATGGGGAGAAATGGTCATTTTATTACTTACATTGGCAATGTTAGCAGTCCACTTTCTTGATCCAGTCAAGCTCTAATTGTTTAAGACAGTCTGATACAAGTTAAGACGCGACATATAGGAGCATAAATAATGGTTTATGTCCCAAGATGGTATTACAGTAAAAAATCTAGTCTAGAAACATGTACACATGTACACGCACACAAGTATCTTTGAATTAACGAAAAACAATACCTGATGTCTCTGTCAGTAGATATCGACACTTAGGCATTCTGTATCTGTCGTCACAAGAATTGTCATTCACATTACCTGGCAATGACAAAAACATTTTTGTTCCCAGAAGTCACCAGCATCACAGTTCTCACACTCATTCTTATTGTTGTGATTTTGTTTCCCTTTTCTGTTACTCTCCATACATTTTTATGCAGCATTTCTTATTTCAGAATTTCCTTATTGAACATAATTTCTTTAATGATTCTCCCAGAAGAAATCACCCACAATACTTATAGTACTCAGCCATACAATAAGCTCAGTGAGGGTTTTTCCACCGAAAGGTATTTATTACAAAGTGATTGGTAGTGAAAACATTTTTTTTGTAGAGATTCTTTCAATGGTTTGGTCACATTTAAACTCATACAGTAATTGGAAATTGATACAATCAGGTATAATCATAATTAAAGTCTGTGTTCATTGTCAACAAAAAAGACTTTCATTTCTGCAATAAAAAAAATACTACAGCAGACCTGTATGTTGTAGAAGAGAGCATTTCACTTCATAGCCAAAGGGTTGCAATTAATTTAGTTATGGTTTCAAGTGCCATTCTATGAATATGATTTTCCCAACAGCCTCTGCCTCAGTGCTTGGCAGCACATAGTTCAAATATTTTAACCAGTGTTGTTTCACAGTGAATCATAAGATTTTAAATCAAGCTTTCTTATGTATGCAATTACCCCACTTTGCACAGGTATTAACCGAACAGCCCTTCGAGAAATTAAACTGCTTCAAGAGCTAAGTCACCCAAATATAATTGGAGTAAGTATTTAGTTGAGCATTAATTTCTAACGTAATTTGTATTTGTGTGTCTGTTCTTTTGTAGTTTTACTTTTTGTGCTAACGTTTTGGGAGCAACCTACGAATTACCACTGTTTTGTTTTGTGTTGACAATTGATGCAGAATAGTTTTCGTATTTCCAGAATCCATTCTATTTAAGCAATAGGTTACTATACAGTTTATATATCATGCTATGACAGATTTTAAATCTATTTTCCATGGTGTTTCAGAAGCATATGCAGCTGGACTGAATTTGACATGCTAGCTTAACTGCATTGCAGAGCAGTCCTGAATTGAAAGAGACATAACAGTGCCTAAGCAAATGCTGTTTATTCTTTCAATGTCTTATGCATGCCTTCAAAGAAAAAAGTTAATTGAATACTAATTAAACAGTGTAAAATAATTGATTTTTTCTTTTTTTTAAGGGAGCATTGATGTAACTTGATAATGTAACAGACCAGATGGTTGATTTTTTTACATTACTTGAAGACATAGTAATCTGCATTTTCTTGGTTACTGTACATTACTGCTTATAATATGATTACTTTTCATCTTTCATTAAGCTTCTAGATGCTTTTGGACATAAATCCAATATCAGTCTGGTCTTTGACTACATGGAAACAGATCTAGAGGTAAGGTTTTCTTTTAAAGACTGGTGCCTTGTGTTTGAGATCTGTCTTTCTTACATTTAGGAATTCTAGTGAATGTCTCTTTCCCACAGAAAATTACATCCTTTGCCTAGACTTTATATTCCCAGTTAATCGTGAGAACAGAACCAGGTGTTCCTGTGGTGCTGTTAAGGGATTTAAATGCATGACCAGTATGCGCAGGTGGGAATATTCTTCATGTGTTTATTTCTTTTCATTTTTGAAATTCATCCATTCGCATAATCTTTTTGGCACATTTTTTTTTGGCATACTTTTTGACAGCTGTTAACTGGTCATCTTAACTTTGTAGCTGCTATTGGATCTAAACGAATCCACAAATATTTCTTTGACACTTCATTGGTATTGCCATTGGTTAAACAATGAGAAATATTTGGTACACTAGATGGCGCCTTATGCCTTTTGCTATGGGGGGGGAATCAAGTGCCTAAAAGCATACAGTTAGTTTGATAAAGTGCCTTTATAGCATTTAATATATTTTTAATATAGCATTGCACACAAATATTTAGGGAAATATTTACTATTCTTGAAATCATTAGCTAGTCCATTGTGTTGAGGATATAAGCATTGACACCCTTCATCTCAAATAGTATTAACTGTTGTATAAAGTGTTCACCTATATTTGACAGCAATATTTCCCTGCTTTGAGTTTCATGCTTAGCAAGCACTTGCCCTTTCTAATTCCTCATCATTGCTCAAGAAGTCTCAAAACTCACTTCATGAAAAAGCCTCAGCTCCCCAGGATGACCCAGAGCTACAGATCGTCCAAATTTAATTATTAAAAAAAATTAATTCACTTAATAATTGAATTAAAAAATCCTGTACATCGTTGCAAACTTGCAAGGTAAAAAAGTTTAAAATAATCTCCTAATACTGTGTATGGCCAGTATTTGAATGACATAAGCTTATAAAAGTTTTCTCATTCAGAGAAAAATGAATGCATTTATTAAGTCAACTGCTGAAAGTACTACACGAAAGGGCAGCCCAGTAACCAAGATAAAAAAAAGTCCACATTTAACAGCTTTAGTCACTTTTTTTTGTCTTGTCTTTTACTCAGATACTTAAATACCAGGCATTCATATGGTGTTACTTACACAGAGCATTATGTTAAAATTTGTGAACAATGGAACATCTATTCCATTGCAGTATTCCTTGAAAGGGAACACATACTGGCTTTATTTATAGGGCAATTACATTCTTGCTTCAACTGCTCCATCCTCAGCTTGACATTTGGTTTCAGAAATATAAAAAAAATGCTTCCTTATGGAGACCAAGCAAAGCTTTAAAAGCATTTTTTGGAACATAAAAATGAAGCCTGAGCTTTGATTGTTATTCCAAACTTTTTTTTCCCCCACATGGAGTGCTGTAACATTCCTGCTTTTTAAAGTGGTGCTGAAAGGGTGTAAGAACATGAGACAGCATATACAGAACAGTAGGCTGTTTTTTTTATTTAGAACTTAATTCATTTGAGGATCTCACCCAGCTATTTTTTGAAGGATGAAGGATAAATTCAGCAACAATATGGCTGAAAGGCTTTTTTCAGACTCTCCCAACACTTTGTTGGAATAATTACACAGAGGCTGCAAGAAAAGCTTCTGCTTTTCTTGGTCTTAGAATCACTTATTTTTCACTTGTATCCTCATGTTTCATTGTTTATGTTTAAGAAGTTCTCTAGTTTGGATATTTAGTTTATGAATGTCCTTAAGGTTTTTGAATATTTGAATTAACTTGACTCCTGTTCTTTGTTTCCGGTTTTTGTACCATAAACTAATTATTTTAACTTTTAAAACAATTAGCTAGTTTAATATTCTCAGATGCCAGAGCTTTCTCACTGTCCTACACAGACCTAATGTTTGAACAAATTGAAAATTCTGGATTCTGTAAGTCAGATAAAATAGAATGATCCACGCTTCTTAAAATATTCAAATGTGCACAAAATTCAAAATGCCTCTCTACAGATTAGTTTCTGCTTTGCTATTTTGTGGTTAGACTACTGCAAATGCATAGTACATGTGAATTTTAGGTTGTCACTTTCAGCTTTTGCAGTACACACTCCTGAGAGGTAATTTTTATGCTGAAATGCAGACTTGTCTGATTTTTATTAGGCAATGTATTTTTCATGAATCCCAAAGGACAGCTCAGATTTACTTTAATTATCTTTAATTTTTTTAATGTATCTTTATTTTGAAACCTACTGTTTAGGTTTATGGGACTCTAACCCCATAAAAAATAGCTATACAGTATATTGGTAATGAAAGCACCTACTGTATGACGATACTTTCAATGGCACAAACCAAAATAAACGGAGCACATTGTACTGTTTGTAGGGGCGCCATCTTCACAGAGCTTTCAAAATTACTGTGTTTGAGAGCATGGTCCTCTTGTGCTGGTGTAAAGTTAATGGCAGCAGTGAGCTAAGGTGCTTATTGGATAGCAGAAGTATAATGCAAGAATGTGAAGTATAAAAATCATGGGGTTTTTAAATAATAATGTTGGCATCATGCTTTCAGATTCCTGTTTTAATTTTCCACCTTAAAATTTTTATGAATACAGTTTTTGCCTTCATTTAGAACCTTTTATTCTAACGAGGCCATCAGTTCATCTGTAATATTTTGTAGTTAGTAGCTAATTGATACCTGGAACCTTATCCTTATTTTTTCTTGAGAGAATACAACATTTCACCTTCAACAGTTTACGCAAGACATCCATAGCCTTCTGTGTAATGAAATACAATATCTCTAGATCTCAATTTTAAATGCACATAGTTTACACATGGGTCTATATTTGATTCATATTCCAGTGCTGAATCTGAAGAGGTTTATAGGTTTAACTTTGTCAAGGCCTTTACATATAGCCAGCAGCCATATCACCCTGCAACTCACAACTGGCTGCCCACTGAAGCTAAGCAGGTGTGAGCCTGGTCATACTGCTGTGCTAATTAGCTTCTAGGGAAATTGGCCCTGGTGTGAGCTTGTTTGTGCCTGTATGTGCCCTGTGATGGACTAGCATCCTGTCCAGGGTGTATCCTGCCTGCCTCCTCTTGCTTGCTGGAAGAGGTGTTAGTGGGGCCAGCAGGGGGTGCTCACCCTGCAGTCTGTGTGGGTCATAATGCCCCAGTATAGTGACGGGGACAATTATACTGTAAACAGGCGCCATCCTTCGGATGAGACGTAAAACCCAGGTCCTGACTCTCTGTGGTCATTAAAAATCCCAGAGCGTTTTTTGAAAAGAGTAAGGTTGTAACCCTGGCTTCCTGGCCAAATTTCCTCTTGGCCCTTATCAGTCATGGCCTCCTTACTCTGCTCTCTCTACACTCGTACGTGTTGATCATTCTTGCGCAGATTGGTGGTGATGGAGGGGAGTCCCCATTACCTGTAAAGCGCTTTGAGTGGAATGTCCAGAAAAGCGCTATATAAGTGTAAGCAATTATTATTATGATGATGATTATTATTTGAATACTAAAGTAATTACTTTTCCTGATAGTCTTTTCTGTTCAAAAATAAAAAGATTTTTAATGTCTGTATTACATTCTTTTATGGCTGGGAGTGGAGTGTCAGGTTGCTCTTCTCTGGTCTTATTCTAGTGCAGTCATGTCTTATTTTTAAAGCTATTTTGGAATAGAAGTACACGTTAACAAGTCCTGAAGTCAAATGCAGGACACAAAAAAAGCCATTCATTATGTATCAAATGTTTCTACATAAAAATGAATTAAATATGACTTCCCAATCTCACGAAAGCTGCAGTTTCAAAGACATTTTTATTTTCACTGTTTTGGAAGGTTGCAGCTGGAATAACAGTATTTTTTTTATAAATACCCTTCTTTTTAGGTAATAATAAAGGACACCAGCCTGGTCTTGACTCCTGCAAACATCAAAGCATATATACTGATGACACTTCAGGGTCTAGAGTATATGCATCAACATTGGATCTTACACAGGGTAAGACTAATATAGAATTCACTGTCTTTCAAATATAATTATCTGACAAGTGCTGTAGTAAATATTTTCAAATGTTTTGTTTTTTACAAAGTTTTCATAGACTGGCACCACGAAATTGAACAAAGTGTAAACAGATGTTGAATTTGATTCATGTTTTGTTTTTAACCTTTAAAGCTTTTTTCATGTACCTCAGTGCAGTTCAGTCACTGTTACAGTCTAGAAGATTAGAAGCACATTTTACTCCTTCATGTGTAGCAGATAACATGAAATAGTAAAACTTTGTTCTATTTTGTTTAGGATCTAAAACCAAACAACTTGCTATTGGATGAAAATGGTGTCCTGAAGCTTGCAGACTTTGGTCTGGCTAAGGCTTTTGGAAGTCCCAATAGGGTGTACACTCACCAAGTAGTAACAAGGTAGGCATCCTTTATTTTATAAAAATTATTATATATTTATTAACATATTTATGAGTAAATGAAGCATGTGTTGCAGGTTAAAAGATATGTTAGATGTTGACAAAATACAAGTAAAACAGTCTTTTCATGCTTCTGAAGAAGTCATTTTAAATGGATTGGGGGGAGGGGTGGTGCATTCTTGAAATGTTAATAATGCTGAACTGATTCTGCTCTTTTGCTTGCTTACAATTGGAACAGGACTGTAGATTATTACTGGTACATTTTTACATTGGCTGGGTCCATACAACGAGGTTCGCAAAAAGATCAAAAACGCTGGGGTGGTTATGTCAAGAGTTTAGTAAAGGTCAAAATGCCCATTTTGTTTCTGGGTTCTAGTTTTGGTTAGGTGCATGATTTCCAGAGTAACTGATCTCTTGCCTTCAGGTGGTACAGAAGTCCAGAGCTTCTCTTCGGTGCCAGAATGTATGGTGTGGGTGTAGACATGTGGGCAGTTGGCTGTATATTAGCTGAGTTGCTCCTAAGGGTAAGCACACATTTCGGTGAGAAATTTGGTTCCCACCAGTAGTACTGGACTGTGACAGAACAGTTTTTCTTTGGTATTTGATTTTTATAAGGAATGTTGTTAACCATTTTAATAACTTGACTCTCCTTGTGCTAAGAAATTGTGAATTTTCCCATGAATGTTATGCCTTATGAAGACCCTCATTCATCACAAAGACAGTTTTGCTAAATCTGAATCTTCTGTGGTAATTTTTTACTTAAATATAGGTTGTTAATGTGAGTCATATAATGTTCTTAAAATTCAAGATTATTTTTTTCATGCTTAATTGTTACGTTTCTGAGGAAGATTTGATAATTGCCTTTTATTAGACTAACAGTGAAGACTGTGATCGTGTTAAGTTAAAGGGAGATGCAGTGTAATGCTCAACACAAAGACCACATAGCCTTTAAACCATGTCTTGTTTCTTAAGTAGTGTTTCAAAAGCAATTATAGAAGCAGTTCTTTAATGTTACTGTACAAAAAAAACATAATTGTTTTTTTAGTATTTTTTAATTTGTGATTGTGTAGAAAAACAATTTACAGTGCTACTTTTTATAGTGCATAAAGGCAGCCTAAATCTTGTGATTGCTTTTACTTTTAATTAACAGAATTGTTATACCTTTTCCTGCCAGGTACCCTTTTTACCAGGAGACTCAGATCTTGACCAGCTAACCAAAATTTTTGAAGCTTTAGGAACTCCGACAGAAGAGACATGGCCTGTAAGCATTTTACTCAACTGTATTTTTTTAGGAACCGTTTCTAGATGTGGACTTAATTTAAATGCATTTCGAACGTTTAAAGTTCCTTTTCTCACAGTGCAAAAATAAGTAAAGGATAAACAGTATTCCTGTGTTTCATCGTTTCATTAGATCTTGAGAATGTGAAAATGTGAAAGCTTTCCCTTTTTTATGTTATAAATTTTGATGCATGTTAATATGTTGTCCTTTATTTCCTTGGGATTATGTATGAATAGTCTTTTGGATTTTCCTAGGGCCTGACCAGCCTTCCTGACTACATATCATTTAAAATGTTTCCTGGAACACCCCTAGAGCACATATTCAGTGCAGCAGGTGATGATTTACTGGACCTGTTACGAGGATTATTTACATACAATCCCTGCACACGAATCACGGCAACACAGGTAACCGTTTCACTCAATAGATCACATCCTAAAGTCGGTGAAAATTAAAGAATAGCGCAACGTCTACCATTGTTGTTTTTTTAAGAGATTTAATTACAATGTTTGAAGAGGTGTTATTCTATAGCCCACAAATGTTGTTTTTCTAGAAACATGAAGAGACACAGCTGTGAGCAATATGTATTTTGCCAATTGTGCAGTAATAAACTAGTACTGTTGAATGCAGCTGACAGCACCATTATTTATTCATGTATTTAAGCTACAAAAAAGAATATGTGCTTTGGTTTAATGTACTGACTAACATGAAACTCCAAGAATAACTACAGTATCATCTACAAAATATTTAAAATGCACAGATTAAAAGTCATGAAGCTTGTGTGAACTTGATTTATTAAAAAAAGAGCTGGTCTGCTTGCTGCAATTCAAGGTTTTTACCATGAGAGAGTTATTTCTTGTTTAAGTATTTATGTGGACACTGTTTTATTTATGTAACATAAAAATAACTTTAAATATTTTTATATTCCCTGAACATGGTGTGAGGCTGACAAAAATAGTTTCTTAAATGTTTCAATCAAAAAAGGCACTCTTTGAAATCAACCCTATTTACAAAAAATGACTAATACTTTCCAGTGTTTGCTTAATAGGCATTAAATCTCATTAGGGACACAGTTGATTGAATACAGGTGATGTGGTGATTTAATCTGCTATACATCAAGGCTAGTGAAAAGAAAGAAAAACACAGAAAAGCAAAATGCTGTGCTTTTCTAAAGAACAATGCCTTGGTGGAGACTGTAATACAGTAAATCAGTACACTTTCTGTCTATCTGGGGGTTTCCGCAGTTAGAAATTTCTGACTTGGAAAATTTCTGTCAATAACAAGTCACAACATGAATCAAAATATATCTTTGTGCTAAGTCTCCTTGACCAATTTTCTATTGCTAGTTCCACTGCAGAAATGGCAAGTCACAAAAACCCTGTCAACAGCAGTTTAACTGGGAAACCAGATAAACAGCCAGGCCAGATGACCATACAGGAGCCTACTGCTCAGCAATGTTCATTGGTGGTAACACAACAGAAGAACACTCCAGCTGGGTTCTCCAGCAACGGTGACAAACTCTGTTTAGTGATGAATCAAGATTTTGTGTAAGACACTCTGATGGGTGTCAGTTAAACCGAAAGAGAAAGTTTGTAATGCTTGATGGCAACCTGACTGCAATGGATTGCTTTGACTTGTGTCCTGTGTCTTGTAACCCCATTTGCTTCCCTTCCTGTGGACTTATCCTGACATGACATGTCCAGAAAGACAACCCATGTCCGTTTTATACTCATATAAGAATGGTTTTTGTGCAAGATGATAATGTGGCGGTTATGCAGTGGATGCAGTGCATGTTTTACCTGTTAGCCATGAGCCCCATTGAACATTTTGTGCGATCAGATTGGACAGTGTGTTATTTAGGGCTCAGAGACCTCAGAGTTTCTTTTCATGTCCGGTACACTGTATAATTGCAGTAGTTGTTCCCATGGGTTCAAGGTAAATCTAAACTAAAATGATAAGTTGGTTAAACATTATTTTTTCTTTCAGGCCTTGAAAAAGAGATATTTCAGCAACAGGCCTGGCCCAACTCCAGGACCCCAACTTCCAAGGCCTAACTGCTCAGTGGAAGCCCTAAAAGAACAGGAAAACTTTAAAATTGGAGTTAAAAGGAAACGCGATGGTACAGAACAAGGTATGTGAATTGTATTCCACTTCAAAAGCTTGTTTGTACATTACTAAAGATCCTTCAACAAAAGTGCAGAATGGGGACCAGGTAAAGAGCTGTTTTATCCCAGCAGTTTTGTCTCCTTCTAGAGTGACATGGCCAGATTTCAGAAGCTAAATTGTTGGTCCGTGCTGGGATGGGAGCCATACAGGTCAACAGCCATAGAGCACTCTTTTCTTTTGTCCAAGATTTATAAAAACCAGTGCCCTAACATGGTAACAGGGCCATTCTTTAGTGGAGGTGTTAAACCAAGCTCAATAAATTATTAATTTAAATTAGTTTGATAAAGATTCCAGCCGTCATTCATAAGAGTAAATGTGTTAATTCTGATGTTCTGGCTGAGTTCCGCTGTGGGTTTGATCAAACTGGCTTCCATTAAATTCCCACTTAATGCAGTTAGTGATGCATTTTCTGTCTTCTTCATGTGATCTGCTGTGTAATGGAGCAGATGACACTATGGCTGCAAGAATGACACTCAGGTGGGTGTTGCTCTTCGGTGATGGATGAAGTCGGTCCACTTCTCTGTGTAAACTGGTTCACGATCCTTCTGTATGAAAAAGGACTATTTTACAGTGGTAAAACAGTGGCTCAAAATAATTATAAGGAATTATTATTAAAGCTTGAGGTATATTCTGTTCACAAATACATTTTATTACAAATTATAATTATAGAAATATTAACAAACGACATTTGTTCAGTACACCATAGGACGCATTATAAATGTGAACGGAACCTAAATTAATACTGGTTGTTTAGCGTACTGGGATGCAATTAGCATTTGTTAGAACATTTAAGGGTGTGGCCTTTATACATTTATTATCATAGTTTTTGTGTTTGATATTAAACCATCGCACTGAATCTATCTCGCTTACAGGATCACTGAAGAAAAAATTGATATTCTAACTGGAAGAGGCCAAGGTTGATGTAAGGTGACTGCCGATGACTACTCAACAGTTGGTGCTGCTAAAAAATGACTTCTCTAAAGTCATACATGGGGAAAAAAGAAACTTGATCGCAGTTACACATTGTAACATTGAACTGTATGAGCTCTCCAGAGCATTATTATTTATATAAATGGATTTTTGATATGAAAGAAGAGTAAAGTTCATTTACTTTTATGTTTTTATATGACAATAAACTGTGAAACTATAAATGTTCCCTTTTTCCCTTTTCTATTATAAAACTGGAAATAAGGTTTTATGAATCTGTGTTTTTTTGCATGTTTTCTGTTAAAGTATTGACCCACCTACAATTTTCACTAGAAATCTACTAAGAATAGAAGAATGCACATTGTCTTATGAAAACATTAAGCATATGTTTCAACAGAAAAAAAAAGTTTATACATTTTACTGGTACTCAAATCTGAGATAAGCTGTTGGCTGACTGCAACTGGAGTTTCCCAAGCTGACATTCACTGGAAAGGGTGGGATTGAGTCAGACAGGGTGGTATTGAGTGCACTGTGCAATAGCAATCTCTATAACTTGCCAAACACCTTCAATCCTGAAGTGCTGTTCATGAGAGATGCAGCAGTTCTTCATGTGTTGCTAATTCTGCTGTAGAAATTGGAACATTTTTGTTGTGAAAAATGACATGGTTCAAAAGAGAAAGGCAGGCATATGTCTTCATCCTGTGCTCTATAAAGGTTCTTACGGGTGAGTTAAACTGATGATAAGGGATGTAAAGGATTTTATGAAGCAGCTGCATGTTGTGACTGGGGAACATGAAAGAGTATAAGAGAAGTGTATGGTAACTAAGATACTGTGGTTTAATGGAAACTGATATATAATGGTGATATATTCATATGTTTCAAAATGTAAGGCTTTTCTAGGAGTCATTTTAATAGAATACACAACTGAAAGAGAAAAAGTACTAACAGAATGTTAATTCTTTCCTAATGAGCACCGAGCTTCCTTATTCAACTATCTCCTGGCTCCCAGCCTATTCTAAACAACAAGTGGTATGTCATCAGTCATGGAGTTTTTTTCTTCTTGTCTTCTCCTAACTCTTAACACTTCAGCAGCTGCCACAGTCTTCTTACGTGACCTATACCTCTCAGCTGAATTGGGAGAGCAGTCACTGAACATTGTTCAGAGAACCTTCTTCTGTATCTGGGGAGTTTTCCTTTCCACTGCATCCTTGTCTAGTCAGGCAGAACCAAAAATGTTGTCCGGCAGACTGACTTGCTTAGTCAGGCAGTGATTTTCAAGCAAACATTCAACCGTGAAGACCAAGAAGCTTTCAAAACTACTCAGTGGTAAAGTTCAATGGATTTAAGTTTTTTAAAGACCCTTAATGTCTCAGAACATGGTGAAGTTGATTGTTAAGGAGTGAAGTGAAGAAGACCCAAACACTCAAGATCAGACTGTCCCTCCAAACCAAGAGCCAGGAAAGGAGCAAACAAGTTAGGTACTATATGCAACTCTGAGGACAAGCTATGAAGTTTGGCCTGAGATGGGAGAAAAAGTGAATGAACAACATCCCAGTTGCTTCACAACGCTGGCCTGTGTGGTAGAGTTTGTAACCAAGCATTTAAGTGATGCTGCAAACATGTGGCAAAAGGGTTTGTGGTCAGACATAATAAAAATTGTTAGCTAATGGTAAAAAAAAAAAAGGTTAGTATTGGTTTAGGTTAGGTTTTTGGAATTCTTGTAAAAAATTCCAATTCCAAAAGTACAGTCATTGTCCCATGACGGGTGCTGTAGATATTTTCTTCCTCATTATACATTATTGTGGGGAAATGAAAGTCACATCTACAAATACTTTGTTTTGTATGAGTAATGTACTGTATGTCCTCGACTGTGTGTTGCATTGATTGATTTATGGTTGAAGGTGCTGTTCACCTGGGTGTAGTAGTTAGCAGTGCTGCCTTGTAGTGCTGGGGTTCTGGGTTTGATTCCAGACCTGGATCACTGTCTGTGTGTAGTTTGTGTAGTGTTCTTCTCATGTTAGGGGGGGTTCCTAATTGGCTTCTAAGAAAATTGGTACTGGTATGAATGTTTATGCTTCTGTATGTCTGCCCTGTGGTGGACTGATGTCCTGTCCAAGGTATACCTTTCCATGCTCCCTTTACTTACTGGCATAGGCTCTGGCTCCACTGCAACTCTTAATTGAAAGAAGCAATTAGAAAATGAATGGATGCTGTTGTTCACCTTTTCAAAGACTTGGTAGAATTACAGAGAAAAACACCAATTTAGGTCTGCTCTTCAGTTTGTTGTCAAGTTGTATGAACTTGTCCTGACTGAAATACGTGGTGTTTACACCAATGTAGTTTGAGTCTACATGGACAATATCCCCCGAGTCATCACCTTTCTCAGCTTCAGATTACATGCGTGATCCCAGCCACCTTAGTTCCAGTGAGACAGAAAATTGTCATCTACTCATGGTCTCTGGGGCAAATCGCAGTTGCTGTACAGTATATGAAATATGTTGTGTGGAAGGATCTGCACCTGTGGCTGGAAGGTTGCCGGTTCAAATCCCTCAGCCGACAGAGGAATCGTACTCTGTTTAGCATCCAGAGCAAGGCCCTTCACCCCAGCTGCTCCAGGGGCACTGTATAATGGCTGGACCTGCGCTCTGACCCCAAGCTTCTCTCCCTGTCTGTGTCTCATGGAGAGCAAACTGGGGTATGTAAAAAGACAAATCCTAATGCAAGAAATTGTATATGGCTAATAAAGTAATCTTATCTTATAAAGGGATCCAAAGATTTAACCCCAAGCTGAATGGAATGTGTTTTTGCTAGACAACATATGAAGTCTCCTGTGAAAGCCTTGGAGGAGAAAAAAATATTTTTCCTATATCACCTTCCTCTACACAGGTAAGAGACATCAGGCTTTCCTTCGCAGAATTCTCTACTCAGCAACCTACTGACAAGCCCATCTTCACTGCCCTTACAGCAGATCCACAGTTTGACTCACTCTGGGTAAACCACCTCATTCAAATGACCAGGTTTGTCATCCCTTTCACCAAGCAGCTCAAAGCCAGAGCAAACGCTAAGCATCCTTGATCTATCACTTTGGATCATGTTGCTGTATCACCTGCATTACCTATTTTGATATATTATATTTTGAAAATCAGTAGATGTTTCTAAAAGCCATATTTAAGGGAATATATGAGAAAGAAAATTGATACTTTCCCATCCTTTCATAAATATAGACCAAATGCAACGCAAACATACTAAAGGCTGATTTACTATGACTGCCAAGGGACAAAATAAAATCCAGTGCATGTTTGGCTAAAAGAAGGGTTCTATATGAAAAATGATTCTCTTAGGAGTAGAGTGTAGCTTATCCATACATTCAACCATTTTCTAAATGCTTTATCCAGTACAGGTTTATGGGGGAGGTAGAACATATCCAGGTTTATTTTTGAAAAAAATCTTCTTTTCTTATCTCACTTAATTCTTCACTTTCAAAAACTTTTATTCATCCTAAATCACCTTTAAGACTAAATTCTGCATTCCTCTCATTCTTCAATACCCAATATGTAGAGATACATATGTGGTATGCAAACACCATTTTAATATAAAATAAAACCGTAAAAAAGCAAGTGGATAAGAAAGAGTTCTAAACCAGGCTCAATAATACTGTTCACTACATATCAATAGTTTTAGCTTACAAATGAGAATGACGCAGGTTGTCAGAAACTATATCCCCCACACACAACTACCACCACTGTTTTCATGAGCCCTAGAAATAAATGAAGGCTCTTTGTATTCTTTCAAAGCGAGATTGAATTACTGCTAAATACCACTCATCTTTGAAAAGAAATTTGCACAAAGCCAATTGTTTTGGTGAATGCTTTTCATTTTAAGACAAGGTAAAACTCTAAAAATGTAAAATTCTACAAACTGTAGTTAGCAGCATTTTCAGCAGCATGAAAAGTGTATTGCAAAATATGGAATCTGTTTTGCAATTTTGTGTGAAGGCAGGAAAATGGGCTACACATGGAAATAGCTCCTCTCCTGAGAATTAGCAGAGCCAACAGCAGCACAGGAATTCTGTGCTGCCTCAGGTACTGTTATCTCTGTTTCACAAAATTCTATGTACAATACAATTGGCACACTAAAAGTTTTGCAACTCAGATATACAGTGCAAGAAACAAGATAACAGTATATTGTCTGTTTAAGGGGGTGGGTTGTCTTGATACTGTGTGTAATTACTATTAATAGTTTACAATACAGTATATACTGTATTTAATAAAGAGGGTTGAGAATTGTCTGAATTGACTGAACTGGTAATGGTATTGCTACACTTCCCCGTGTTACTATTTTGTACAAGTGGAAGTGATAGGAGGCAGGGGGTGTCTGCAATTTAAAAATAGTATTATTTTTATAACATAAATGTTATTTCTCAAAGTAATAGCCCTAATGTACTGGGCCAATTTATCCTTCAAACTAGCAATTCCCTGATAAAAGAACTCATCTATTATATCAATGTCATATTGCAAGTAATCATTATCTTGAAACTGTGCTGAAACAGGTATTGGCCATTCTGATGTGAGTCTAGGTAATAGGGAGGTGGCCGTGTTTTGACCTACACTGGCAAATGGCAGTCTGGATAACCATGATACTTTGTGATACAGCAATAGGAAACTACTGTCCAGCTATATTTTTTAGATGGCAGTATGCAACCAGGCCAGTATACAGTATCTCACTCTGCAGAACAGTGATGGTACTAGTCCACAGCCTAGTCTATATTATTTTTACACAAACATGATGAGAAACTATAAAGCACAAACAAATTCTTAATCTGCTCCATAGGATAACTGGAGCAACAGGCATTTTGGTTCAATCATATATATTCTCCAGCAATGTAGCTCCAAATGTTTGGCTTTTTCAAACTGGTAATGGGTAATTTTACCTTGAGTTTGAGTTTTACCTTACTTTGAGTTTTTAAAAGATCTTTATAATCTTTTAGTAATACCAAGTATATTGCTTTATACTATTGGCATGCATGTGAATAACAATAAAATGACATGAAATGAAATGCTTACTGCCATTTAAACGTCATAAATTGTCATCTGTTATCTGAAAAAGGGAAGGAAACAATTAAGACTTTATAGGTTAATAAGTTGAAAGCTTAATAGCTGACAATAGACTGCATTTGATCACTAATCATTTTTGACTTTTAAATTATGTGATGACACGAGACTTAGCCTCTGCCTTTTGAAAGGCATAAATGTCTCTCTTAGTCATTCTTCTTTGTCCATTGCAGATGCTCCAACAATAGCAAAACCACCACAATAGCGTTGTTTCATTCTAATGTAAATCACATAACATGATGTAATTAATTTCAAGACATATAAAAACAGCAGTTCTTTTGTTCTGTTTAGAAAAAAAAAATAGGGAAAATGATTAGGTGTTTTAATCACTTTGCACCTAAAAATGTGCTATAAAAACTGAATTGAAATCATTTAGTTTGACTATTTTTTTACATTATACATATAGTAGAAGCTTGGTGGCATAGTGGCGTGAGAGTTAGCCCCGCCTCACTGCTCTTGGGTCCTGGACTCGATTCTGGGACAGAGGGATTTCTGTGTGGAGTTTGCATGTTCTCCCCATGGCTACATATTTTTCACAGAGAGCACCTGAAGTGGGACATGTATATATCTCACTTATCCATCATCACAGTATCACCACTTAAGCACATTGTGAGAGGTGTTGATGGGGTCTGTTAATTTAGCCTCAATCAAAAGTTACACTAAGATGCTATAAAGCTGACTTGCTTTAGCAGCCCCAGTGGCTTAACGCTACATAATAACAGACAGGAACAAAACCCACAAACAGGATAAACCAGACCAATGGCTGCTGCATATCAAAGGACAGAACCTACAGCAAGACAGAGTAGGACAAGAATTAATTACATATCCAAGAACAGGACAAGCACTCATATTGTTAAACAAACTTACTTCTGACTGTATATAAGAGCTGGGAAACCCTTGCAGTTTGTCTGTTCTGTGGGGCAGACCAAGCGCGTGTTTTCGGACTAAATTGAGCTAAATAAAACTGAATCTGCACCAGACTGTGTCCTGCTCCTCTGATGAAGAATTTCCTACAACAGCACCAGTGTCCTCCCACAGTCCAAAGACATACTGTCTAGGCTAATCGACGTATGATCTGCAATGGAGTGCTGTCTCGTCCAGGGGGTTTCCTTGGCTGTGCCCATGTCTAACCTGTGATTGAAGACGCATGTGGAAGATTCGTCAAATAATGCACAACAATGCTTCTGACCCTGTATCAAAATGAGAAGTTTAATATTCGATTTTACAGAGTTGTTTGGCATTACTTAGACACGACTGTTGCTGTGATTGAGTATGTAGTTCAATGTCCACAAATTGTAATTAATTGATCGGTTTATATTCATAGATAACTACAATATACAGATTCATATAGAACATTAATTGCCTTACAGCACAATCTCCTTGACTTTTATGCACATTACATCATTTTTGCTCTTCGAAAAGATAAATCTGTCTCCTCAATAGTTCAGCACTTGTTAAAGCCAACTTTCGAATACGATCCACATCACCGTTAAAAAAAACATCTTGTCACCGGAAAAGCAAATGGGATCCAGAACATCTGACGACAACGGAAGTGATTGAAAAGCGAAAAATGAGAATAATTATTGAAAGAGAAATTGCTTTTCATCGAGGGAGATAATGGGTGAATTGAATTATTTTTAATATATGCTGATATCCCGCAGTCCGAGTGAACTGTCCAGCTGATGACAAAGCTGAGTTTTGTTTCTACATGGTGCTTACTGTACTGTTTGTTTTTAGAAATTCACTGCAGACCTCGGTTAGGAGACGCTGTTGTGGCTTTTGTCTGTGCTGTTTCAGGAGTGGCTCAGCAGCAGTAGCGCCATCACCGACAGTCTTAAAAAGAAAAACAATAAACGTACAGTATATATAAAGCATCAGCCTGGACCAGCGCATTATTTATGTGTGAGCTGGGATTTGGGAGGCTGAAGAACAACATCTCTTTCGACCCCGAACTGGAAATCTGCGGGGTTATAGTATTACAGTTTAAAAGGGATCCCTTGAATCAGAATGTCTGTTCGATGTTGCGTTTCTCAGGTAAGCAGCTTGATTAAAAGTTACACTTTTCTTTTCCGTGTTGTTTGCAAGTCGTTATTTTTATATGAAGTAACCCATTTAATAATTTCCATCCATTTTATATGTGTATCTATAGCCTCGTGAGAGCTGAAACTGACATTAGTGTGAAGTACTGATTACATTTTGGTGATTGAGATTTTAATTTATGATTTGAATAGACCGGGACTAAAATTGTAGAAAATAAGAAGACTACTTCATTCATAGCAATGAGAACACTTTCTTGACTTTTAAACACGTCGGCACATCCTTTAAAGCCAGCTGTGGGTTTTTGATTCATGCTTTTCTGTTTCTGTTTTTATAAGTGGTTTCATTGCCTAAATTATATGTATTAAAGATGCGGGCAGTTTATCGATTTTTAAAGCTAGTATCTTTTTTAAATAGTCAATACTCAGATACTTTTTTAAATACTCAAATTAGACCAGACTTTGTGTTGAGTGAAAATTGAGAGATCTGTTTAAATGACCAAAGTCTCTTACATCCAACCATCAATATTTTTCATAATTGTCTTTATGGGTTTTAGTCATGCGAATTATTTGTGGTGGTGAACGCATACGTAGATCTAATTTAACAAAACTAGTTTTTGCTTTTACTGTTGTAACACCCGAGATCACTCTTCAGATTAAAGCAAACGTATATAGTGTTGTCGTGCCCCTCTAAGGTCCTTCTGAGGATTCAGTGTAGCGTAAACTAAATTTGAGTCTTCAACAGGGAGATTAAATTCGTCAAATACTCGATGCATTACCCTTTTTAATCATTGCTTTTGATCTCTCTAGTTTATGTGCGAACCATTGTAACTTGATACAACAAAAATGCTTCCTGAACGTTTTATAAGTGTAAGAAAATGTATATTTTAGTTGTCATAAATAATTTACTGAACAGCAGATTAATGTTACCTATAAATCGCCTGGATTGGCCTATAGGCCTTCTTTGGCAGCACAGTATAACGTAACAATAGTGTTGTACATCAGAGAGCATCTAGTGTTCTTGCATTGTTAAAATTCTTTGTGTTTGCTCTACTTGCAGAATATCCTCTGAATAAATCAAAGTTTAAGTTGAATTGAAAGGGGAATTGAATTGAATTGAAATATTATATATATTTGGCAGATGATAGTTTCAGAACATGCATATTATAAAAAAAACACTACAGCATACTCGTTTTTGGTATTTGCCATATATCATATACTAAGGCAAAGTTTAGATGGTAAACTGTTTTCAGTTTAGTTATAATTTTTTTAAGAAAAAGGTTATGTGAACCTGATGTGGCATCTCCTCTTTAATAAAAATAGTTAATGTTTTTCAGCTCTGTTAAAATAACCAGATATGATATGTGTGTCTTTGTTAGAATGTGGATGACCTAGATTCTCAGAATAAACAAATTCTCCTTACGTTTTTGCATGTGGATGTTTTTTTCTTTATCCACCAACTGCATATGTGATATTGAAGGAAAAAAATATTTTTTTCCACTCAGTAAAGACATATTTTTTTAAAAAGCACAGTAATAAGTCATTAATGTTGCAGTTTCTCAGTAGCTTCTGGAATGAAGTTAATTTGTCACATAATTATATAATTTCCCTAAGACTGGTCACTAAATTACATTGAACTTTGATTTGCAGTGTTAGTGATTTGATCTTAGAATTAGGAAGTGGGTTATGGCTGGCTACGAAAATCCGCAAAGTTAGCTTTTTTATACTAATATTAAATTTCATGCCTGCATGAACTTTATGTCTTTATACAATCATGCCTATTTGCAAATAAGTTGAAAAATAGTGCATGAAACAACACCCATAGTACAAGGTATTTGATTGGTACATTGTGAAGCATAAGGTTGCTGTCTGTGAGGGCCTAAGTCCAAGCAAACAGACGACTCAGAAGTTCCAGACTGCAGTTGAAATATATACTTAACTCTGCTGGCTATAAACCTTACATCTGTAATAAATGGTTTGCTCTTATGCCTCATCTATGAATTAGAGTAGTCAAAGTTTTAATTCTATAGCAGTTGTTCTTTGAAAGAACCAAAAGAGTCCTTAAATAATTTGAACAGAATCTCCACCCAGGATAATTCAATATCTCACTTATTTGGATATTGTTAAGAGCATTTATTTTTTTGCAGTACTTTATGTCCCCTTGCTTGTTTCCTTGTTCATTAGCCATAATTTTAACAGGTTATGTAATCTGAATCTGAAATATTTTCTGGAAATGCAGTATTTTCCAACATACAATATAGTATACCTGTAAGACAAAACATTTCATTGTGATTTAGTGGGATTCAGGTAAAAGACTCAAAGATTATACTGCTCAGTAACCATTTAAGTGTATGCCATAAAACATTAACTATTAACACCATCCAATCCAGTTATTTATTTTGTGTATTCTGTGAGGAAATATTTCCACTTCTGTTATTCTTTATACAGTACAGATCTGTACCATAACTGCTCACTTGGTAATTATGTGTGTATTAATGGCTGATTATAGTCTGTCTTGTGACATGGTTTGTAGCTTCTTCTCGGTGTAAGACATGATGGCTCTACTTACCAAAATCTGATACAGTATAACATGCTCTATCTAGGGGATTTATGCAGTTAATGAAGTCCAGCTGTGAGTGTGGGTTGCACAAGCTGGAACTTCACAGTTTTTGCTAAGACTTTTAAAAGGATGTGATTGATGTTTTAGGGCAAAAAGGAAAATCAATGTAATATGTAGGCCTTAACGTTTACAGTATATGATATTAGAAAATGGTAGCCTTTCATTTAGGGAGAAACTGTAGAGAGAGACGTGAACAGTGGAAAAACACTTCAGGTTCAATGAGTCAAGCCTGGAAAGCTTCTTTCAGTGTAGCGGAGATTTTCCAGTGTGGTACTATACACAGATGCGAAGAAACTGCTCAACACAGCAGATTTTTGAACAACATGCTCACAGAGTGAGTAATGCACTCCCTTGCTAGGACTTCCCAAATCCTTCTAACCATCTGATGGTAGGAGTTGATTATGATGATTTACAGTACAGTCTGACACAGAGTGTAGTATTTTCTTATACAAAATATGCAAGGGCATGGCTTGTGGGAGCTGGAATATTGGATGTTTTTCCAAGATTAATGAATCTACAATATCCATCTAATTTAATGTCTGAATGAAATTGTAAATATGTGCGAGTGTTTGTTAGGATAAAAACATTGCATATTCCTTTAAATGTTGCTGTTTAAGAGATGCAGGGATCTTCATCTTAACCCATATAGTAGTGCTTATAATGCCTTTTTCTCAATGGCCACAAAAGCATTGCTTCTTGCTCTGATTTCATTGAAAAAGCAGCGTCACAATTTGTACCCGTTTTGTATGCTCTGCTGCTTGTAAACACGATCAGCTTGCTGCATGTGATTCCTGTACTAACAGAACAATATGTCTGTAGAAAAGTGTCTTTCACTTCTGAAAAAAAAACACAGGAATAGGTAAGAAAAACTGATTCATCCATTTAAAAGTCATGATTGCACATGTGGGCGGCACTGTAGCACAGCTGTTAGCATTGCTGCCTCACAGCACTGGGGCCCTGGGTTCAGTTCTGGTCCTAGGTTGCTATGTGTGTGGAGTTTGTGAGTTTGCATGTGTTTTTTCACTGGGTGTTCCAGTTTCTTCCCACAGTCCAAAGATATACTGGTAGGGTAATTGACTTCTGGGAAAAGTGGCCCTTTTGTTAGTGTGTATAATTGTGTCTGTGTGTCTGCCCTGTGGTGGACTGGCATCTGTCCAGGGTGTGTCCTACATTGTGCCCATCATTTGGTGGGATAGGCTCCTGCTCCCCTGTGCCCTTCTGTTGTGTAAAGAGGTTAGAAAATGGGTGGATGAGTGTAGAAAATTACCTTAATGGGTCACACAATTAGAATTACTTTCTGTCCAATAATATCAGTTCCTGTAATTTATATATTGTGAGCTTTATGCGTGGCACAGACCGAAATAAAACATTTTCCAGTCATGGCCATCCTTACAAAAAGGACCGTCGTAGCGCCACCATGCTATGGAGAAGATTCTCACCAGCAGGGACCGAAAGCATTTTAAGAATTGAAAGAACAATAAAATAGGCAACAGAATAGAACAGATAGGCAAATACTAGAGGAAATCCCATCTAATCAGCTTAAGATGCAAAACTGACAGGACAGTGATTTAAAGGTACACTGGAGTGGCTTAAAAATATGCAAGTGGCCCAGTCAAAGTCTTAACTTATGTTGAGGTCTGAAGAAAAGCTTGCAAACTCCAGCCTGTTAGCGACCACCAAGCAATTTGTGACAACTTGAACAAATCTGCCAAGAAGAATGGGAAGATGGTACAGGTTTACCAAACATTTTTAAAGTTACCAAATCCTTCTACCAAATATTGTGTTCACCATTCTAAGTAAAATCAACATATTTATTTCTTAGGTTTTTACCATAATTTATCTTACCCTTGTAAGTCTTCAATTTGAGCTTTCCGGTTTTGAATTAAGTATTGTTTTAAAATACTGTATGCGTAATTTTATAATTTTACTGTTGGCAAGGCACTGTATATGATTTGTGATAATTTTAAATAATTTTTCCATTTTCATCCAGCTTCAACGCCTTATTTTTAAAGAACAGAGAATTAAAATAATTTTGTGCAGTAGCCTATATCCTTAAATAGAAGTTCCTTTTTACATATAATTAGTAAAAACTGATGAGAACTACACCTGATACTGTAAGATACCTATGTTAAGTTTTAATTATGGATTAGTTCATTTAAACTATGTTATTCAGAGCTCTTTTCTGTTGATTTAATTACTTGTTTTCCTTGGTACTCAAATCAGTCACAGTTGTCAACATACGGCATTTGGCAACCACTGAAAAAACAAGCTGTTGTTTTGCTGTTTTGTAATAGGTTGACTAAAAGTTTTTTTTATTGGAGATTTTTAAACTCTAATTTGGAATTTCTCCGCTCTTTCTTCTAAGTTGTTAAAACTTT